GGGTTGCGCGAGACGCTGGAGCAAAGACCGTGCCCTTGCAGCTCTTGATGCAGACCATGGTGAGGCAGGCTGTCCCTTTGCAGCCCATGGAGGCCCATGGTGGAGCAGATCTCCACCTGTAGCCCATGGAAGGGACCCCACGCCCAAGCAGGTGGATGCCTGAAGGAAGCTGTGACCCCGTGCGGAGCCCGCGCTGAAGCAGGGTCCTGGCAGGATCTGCAGACCCATGGAGAGATGAGCCCATGCTGGAGCAGGTTTGCTGGCAGGGCTTGTGATCCCATGCTGGAGCAGTCTGTTCCTGAAGGACTGCACCCCTTGGGAAAGACCCACGCTGGGGCAGTTTGTGGAGAGCTGTGTCCCGTGAAGGGGACCTCACGCTGGAGCAGGGGCAGAGTGTGAGGAATCTTCCCCCTGAGGAGGAAGGAGCAGCAGAGACAACGTGTGATGAACTGACTGCAGTCCCCCCATTCCCCATCCCGCTGCGCTGCTCGGGGGCAGGAGGGAGAGAAATGGGAGTGAAATTGAGCCCGGGAAGAAGGGAGCGGTGGGGGAAGGTGTTTTAAGATCTGGATTTATTTCTCACTATCCTATTCTGATTTGATTGGTGATGAATTAAACTCCCTTTTCTCCCCAAGTTCAGTCTGTTTTGTCCATGACAGTAACTGGTGAGTGATCTCTCCCCGTCCTTATCTCGACCCTCGAGCCTTTCATCATATTTCCTCTCCCCTGTCCAGCTGAGGAGAGGGAGTGATACAGTGGTTTTGGTGGGCACCTGGCATTTCTGCAGGCCAAACCAAAACCAGAACGTACAAATACGAGCACAAAAAAGTGGTAATTAAAGCCTTGAAGCAGGATGGCTTGACACAGCAAAGGTCAAAAGCGTGCAGAAATTTTGTCCCCCTCATCTTCTCCCACCCCAAAATCACCCTCATTACCTGAGTAATGTTCCTCTTGCCTTCTGTCCTCCTTGTTATTTGCATCATCTTCCCCCCACCAGGAGGGCTGCCCATAAAGAGGGGTGCGGTAGGTATTGGTTTCTAGGAAGAGGATAAGCAAATACTTTGACACAGAAAACATCAATTTACCAGGTTCACAGAAGTCATCCACATGCCAAAAAGGGAAAAACAGCAGGGTCACATGAGATCGTGTACCTGTTACATTGCAGTTGTAACAACAGCAAATTATACATAACAATGAGTATGTTCAGGCTTTGCTTTTTTCCCCTCACTTTTTCTTTTTTTCGTTCTGTTGCAAGACGCTGACTCCACCTCCCTTCACTGTCTTTCATAGCTGTGCTTCCCAAATACTGGCTCTTCTCCCTGTCCTGCCTCATTATTCACAGGAAGTGGAGGATTTTTGGCAGGACAGACTACAGAACACTAACCACAACACTGCCTGCAACTCACCTGCAATTCAGGTGAAAATCAGACTTTTTTCCTGATCTTAACTGGGAAGGCATTAGCTCTGCCCTTTCTTGCCCCACCATGCCCTTGGACGTTGTGAGGCCAGGGGTTTTTTCCAGCCACTCACCACTCCCAGTCCAAGTGACACACATCCCACAACAGGAAATTCTTGAGGCGTTACAAATTTAGGAAAAATGGTAAAACCATTCCCTTACATATACATAAAGATGAAGTAAACTCCTGCTCTCTAAAGCTTAAAGTAAACCAAGTGGATTCCAGAGTCACTACAGGACGGACGTTTTTCTCACGGAGAAGCTTGCCCTGGAAGAGCCAGGCTGCTCTCATTTCTCTGCTCAGTGAGCACTCACTGGAAGATCAGGGCTTTGCTGTAACGACCGGTAGCCAAAGGAGCTGATCGGCTGCTCCTCTTCTTGTCTCCCACAAACAAGATGGTGTTCTGGCAGTGCCTTGGGCTGCTGCTGTTTATGCAACAAGTAAAAAGAATATATCTCAATTTACCTGTGGTATAGTTATTATGTTTTTATAATAGTTTAAGAGAAGCAAATAAAGCAGCTTTTGTTCTTTCATCTAGAGGTGATAAAAACTCCAGGATAGGTCAGGGGCTGAGGTTAAGCTCCACCTTTGTTAGCAGCTTCTGCCTCTACCTGTGATGGCCATCTGCACACGCTTTACCGGCCACGTCTTCAACCCTGGCTCCAGCTACAGAGCCACAGCCCGGCTTCGACCGCCAGCTGCAGCTCGGCTTCTGGTTTTAAAGCCACACACTGCTCTGTGCAAAGCAGCCCCCAAACAGCCCTGCCATTCTGCATTCCCTGCTTTAATAGCAACCCGACAGAAAGTAGTCATTAGCATAAGGGAAGTACGGAGAGGAAAGGGAATTAAATAAGTCAAAAGAAAAAAAGAAGCCTGATTTTATGGTGCTGTTTCTAAAGCAACGCAGACCCAATGGCCACTACTTCAGATGTTTTTTTTCTAGAATAGTTCCAGAGATATAAGCTCATACACAGAGTCCACAGGCAAAAATTTTGATTTACAGATGCAGCCCACAGGCCCTTTTCAAGGGATCTTCTTCATGTTTCAAAATTAACCACGCTGCCTCCCTTCACACTGAGGATCAAAAGAGGCTGAAAGTATTCCTCTCCTTCCTGCCTAGAGTGTGTGGACGATAAACTGTGTTCCCATTATGTCGGCGGCCTTTGAAAGTTCAAAGGAGGAAGCATTTCTCACCGTGAATAAATTGGAATTGCCAAGCAATATGTTTCATAACTGAGGACAGGTAAACCACTCAAGGAAGAGGTGAAGAAGAAAAGAAAAACCCCATTCACAAGCTTGTCAATGAAAAGAGGCACCCAAATGTATGGTTTGGCGTCTGCTAAGCTGAGACCTTCTGCCACACAGCCTAGCAGAAACCTCCCACCCTCTCTTCATGCCATGACCTGCCCACTAGACCCCCACCCCAACCACACAGGATCTGCTCTACCAAAATCAGACACTTCTTTGGGGCACACACCGCAATGGATTACCACCCTCTGAATTGCAGTAGTGATCTTAGGGTTGACGGCCAAGAGGCAGTCACAGCTGGGAGAAAGAGAACTACACTTTGGGGCGATGGACACATCCATTGGGAGCTGGGCTTGTTTAGCCTGAAGAAGAGAAGGCTGAGAGGGGACCCTATAAATGCCTACAAATATCTTAAGGGTGGGTGTCAGGACGATGGGGCCAGACTCTTTTCGGTGGTGCCCAGCAACAGGACAACAAGGGGCAATGCGAACAAAATGAAGCACAGGAAGGTCCGTCTGAACATGAGGAAGAACTTCTTCCCTCTGAGGGTGACGAAGCCCTGGAACAGGTTGCCCAGGGAGGTTGTGGAGTCTCCTTCTCTGGAGATATTCAAGACCCACCTCGACAAGGTCCTGTGCAGCCTGCTGTAGATGACCTTGCTTCGGCAGGGGGGTTGGACTGGGTGACCCACAGAGGTCCCTTCCAACCCTGAACATTCTGTGATTCTGTGTAATCGGGCAGAGTTCACCTAGCAGTCCTGCACACCTTTACTTCTAAGCTACCCATCATGTGGATATCTAAGCAATAACCAAAATTATTTCTTTCCCTTAGCTCACGCACAGGGAAAACTGCACACTGAACACAAGAGCTACTGCTTTTGTCCCCCAAGAGCTTCTCTACTACAGCGAAAAGGCAGCTAGGGGAGCAAGTGAATCTTGGTCAGACTTTTTCTGTTGATGGGGAACTTTGGGATTGCAAGGAAAGCTGAAGGAAAAAAAAAGAGTATTTATAAAGAATAATGAGTCAGCTCCTCTGCCTTCTAAAATTTTCCCCTCTAGGGTAGAGCGCCCTAATAGGTGCTTGGAAATTCCCCAAATTCCCCCTCTGACAAAAGCTAACACAAAGCCAAAACCCCAGGGCACCTCAAGGAGCACTTAGAGAAAGGTTGGCCAGCGTGCACTGACCTGGGGGCACCATGGTGGGAGCCACTTCCTTGAATTCGCTGTAGTCGCTGCATGGCAGCAGAAGGTCCCTCCTGCCCCACGACACAGAGCTCTCAGAGCTCTCGTGGCCCCACCTGCATCTACTCCCTTCTGTGGGATTGGTTTTTGGTTTGTTTTTTTTTTAATCCTTCCCTCTCCCAGCCTCCACAATAAACTGGAACTCCATTTTTAAAACCGCAAAAAGCACAGATGAAAAGCTGAGGAGTCAGTATGTTGCAATTAATGTTTCCACTGAGTCTTCATATTGATAATGTTATTCAAAGTGCAAATTAAGTCTCATTCTCAGCTACTGCTGGAAGTGGCCAGATCCTGAGCCAGAGTAAAATTTCCCTAACTTTAGAAGACCTACATGAATTAGCTGCCCTGCTCACAAAGGAAGCTTCTGTCCCCTCTAATTCACCAGCACAACCAACCTGATGACTCTCTCCGCTCCAGCTCTAACACAACAGTATTGTATAAAAAAGGGAGAGAGGAGGAAAAGAAAAGCACACTAGAAAGGCAGCTAAACCAGATGGCTGTGACAGAAGCGGACCAGGGAGCAGCTACACATGCAGTTGTGCCAGGGGGCTTTGCTCTTCACCAGCTGGGATGCACGTGGGTAGCAACCTCAACCCGGACCTGCAGCATCCAGAGCAGTGTGTCTGCTGGTGTCCCGAGACACAAACCCCTCCCTGAAGCCACTGCCTGCCTGTTACATTTTAGCATAAAATGGAAATTCTGGGTACAGCAGAGACACTCAGGGTTTGCCTGAGTCAGCCGTGAAGCGAGGAACACCAATGAAAGCTAACTGCTCAGTTATTTTAATGACATGAGACTTCCTCCAATCGATGGCAGCTCGTTACCACCTCTCTCCACTCCGTGCCAGACTGCCCAGATGGTGTCAATTCATTTAGACATATTTCTTGGCTCATCAGTTCAGGCAGGCAGCCCAAAACCCATCCTTTTAGATAACCGAATTGAGGTCAGCGCAAGCATTCAGCCAGATAAATACTGAGCTACCTGTGACAGTGTAATACAGGGGAGACCACTGACATACACACGTTCTGCTCCTGGATTTCAGTCTTCGGGGCAGTCACTCAAAAGAAAACATGAAGGCTGCTTTAGAGCAGAACAAGGGAGGTCCATTTGTTTAGCAGGTCTGACAAGAACGTGGCCAGTTCAATTAATACAGAACTATTGATCATCTGACGGAGAGGCACCGCAAGAAGAGAAGATGAGACACGTCAATTCAAAGGATGTATTTATGGAGAAGTGAATCACACAGAACACCACAACAGCAGGACAAAAAAATGCAGTCCAGGTGATGAAAGGGAAAGGAGAAAGCCTGTGTTAATGCTGCTTTCTATCAGCAAGTGGGCAGAAGAGCTTTCACGGCAAGCACACAGCTCCCACCGCAGAGGGGTCTGATTTCCCTTGAAGGTGTTCCCTGCGGTCAGGACAGGACTGAAGGCTGCGCTTTGCCCACGTCCTCACAAAGCTTCAAACCGTCACGAGAGACACAAGACGGCAATGGCAAATTTCTCTGCTGACAGAAGCACACACAGCTTTGAAGCTGTCTACAGCAAGTCATAACAAAAGTATGAGGAATCCAGCTTGCTTTAAGTCAAACCGTTTTGATTCATTATTAATAACAATAATGCCCATCTTCAGAAGATGCAGAGTAGGCTTCTTACAGCAGAGGTCTTCAGGGAAAAACAAAAAAAAGATGATCTAGCTATAAGATTTTAAAATGAATTCCTTACATCTCTGCTTTTTAACTCCTCTCCAAAACAGAGGATTCAGACCTAGTAGCAATAACCATGAAGCCATTCTCTGACTCTTTGCTGCAGTATTTATTTCACATGTGTGTGGCAAACCTAAGCCCTGGTCTTTTGTACCTGCTATGAACATACACAGATCCCAGAGGCTTTCAAATCAGGCTGATCTGATTCATACAAATTTATTTGTATGAATTACACGGTCAAACCTTTAACGTGCTGCAGGTACCACCAGCCTAGCTGAGGCGAAAAGCAGATACATCACCACCACTCCCCTAAATTAAAGGCTAGGGTAGAGCTGTGCATCTAAATAGCTATTAGCATGATCTCATGGGGAAAGCAGCCAAAGACCATGGAAACCACTTCACAACTGGGCACAACTCCCACCGCCTCCATCCACGCTGTCTGCCGGCCTCAGCCCTGGACGCCAACAAGACTTTCCAGTTGGCGACTCTGTTGAGAGGGCTCCCTAAGGACACAGACGCTAACCTGGCAAGCGAGCCTATTTCACAGCTCTCGGGAGAAGCTCAAGTCCTGCTCCTGCAGTGGGCAATGCCCATTTCAGCTGGATGCTGTGGGCAGCCTCCACCCCTGGAAACTCAAGCCTGCAGCAGTTATTCAGAGGTTAGTCAGATTCAGCATTATATAGTGCCACCAGCCTAAGAGGGCTTTAAAAAAAAGAAAATAAATTAAGATCAGTCTGAGGATTAACTATACGTTCAGAACAGAAGACCACAAAGTAGCTTATCTCATCCAGTACACCTCAACTCAGGTAGCAACAGATGGGGATTGTGACAGTCTTAAAATCTGCTCGGCTCAAGGCTGCACCTGGCCTCCTGATCACTTAAGGCTTCAAACATGAGAGCTGATGGCTATTTTTAGCATTAACTAGCTGAACTGTGGGCACTTTTCTTCTTCATATCCAACCCACAGGGCTTACCCAGCTCCTTGCCTCAAACATTTCACAGAGACTGATGATTTTCTGCTTACAGGCAACATACGCCCAAAAGCTGCAAGTTCAACAGCATGAAGACTAAATGGCTGAGCTGTTTGCCATTCACTCCGCTGGATCTCTTTATCCTCAGCCCCTCACCTCCTCCCATTTCTAAGCAGCTCTAATTGTGCGCATTGTTTTGTTAAACCTCTTCCCTGAAAGTTTGCATTCCCTCTGCCTCTCTTCCACCGGGCCCTGGGAAGCGATCCTTCTAAAGGCTTTTGTCACCCCAGACCTTGCTTTAATTAGTCAATGCAAATTCCTAAATACCTACGGGCTTAGCAAAACAGCTCTTTCCCCAAAGCCTCTTTCTGCTGCCACTAAGCAAGCCCACTCCCCGTAAGACTACTACATTCTTCTTTCCACTAATCATTTTCAATTGCTGCCACTCCTCCGAGCAACCAAGGAGAAACTGCGCCTGTGTGCAGCTGAAGACAAGGTGAATTAGTCACATCGCAGATGAAAAAAGGGACCCACTGATCATTCTGCTCACAGGACAGAGATGCTTGCTGGAGAGGGAGAAGCTGATTTAATGCTCAGACTACCCCCTCTTGCTTCCACAGGCTTCAACCCAATCCAGCACAACACTTCCAACAAAAAGTCCTGAACGCCTCCACCTTTCAGGGGGGTTTGCAGGGTTCTTATTGGAGGGTTGCAGGTTCTTCACAGGTTTTTTCATATCTGCCCGTCAGTCCCACTGCACGTGACATACTTCAGCACTGGCCCCCAGCAAGTACTCACAGCCCCTTCTGCCTTTGACCTATGGTCCGTGCCCGCTAACGACGGCAGAAACATAACGCAACGATCTGTGAACCCCACGCGACAGAAACTGTCACCTTGCTGAAGAGTCACTCAATGCGCTGACCTTGACAATGTTCCAAACATCAACTGCTTACGCTATGTAGGTTAAAGCCAAGTAGTGCATACATTGGAAAGCGGCAAGAATAAAAAACCAGAATGTTCAAGCAATCAGACAGCAGCAAACGCAAACTGGTTCCAGTTACTGGCAATGCTTTTCAAGACCCCAATGCCCCTTGCAAGGCAGCTGGAGAGCTCTCCCTCCAGTGAGGTTCACCTCTTCTCACCCTCTGCGGTGTCATGGTTAATCACCACCAACTTCATCCCTTTAGCTGCACACCTTGTGAGGCAAAGTCACAAACACCCCATCCACAGGGGAGGCCAACACACACAGATGAAGCAACAGAAAGAAAGGTTTCGCTGTGCGGAAAATGGGAGTCAGGCACACGGGTGCAGATGCTTCCACGCACAGCTGGAGGCAACGACGAGACCAGGGAGAAAAATTACGCTGTTTTAGTACACTGTGTCAGCTTAGAGGGATTTTCATAAAGACAATATATGGGAGATTAAGGTCAGCCAACCCATTCCAATTAGTTATCCTGAAGCCTTAACGGATTTGCCCAAAGTTGTACACATTTCTAGAAAGCTGCTGTGTCCGTCTCTAGGTCACCTCACCCAAGATGCTGTCTCACTCCTATTTGCCCATCCTCTTCCCCCCAGTCACCTCCCTGCTCCTTCCTCCAACAGTCTCTCTGCTAACCCCAAAGCCTTCCAACTGCTCCACCATCCTGGTGCGACAAGAGCACTGCTGGCAGTCATCTACCACTGGGATGCTTTAAAACCATAGTTGTTCCTCCCGTGCATCATCAGGCTCTAGAAGGCCACCAACCGATACCTGAACAGAGCTGGGGGTGACCTGTCAGGGCAGTACGTACAGGAGGTAGGACGCTCACATGGGCGAGACAAGACTGCTGGGGAGGTCTTGGCCCACCATGGTGGGGAACAGGGAGGAAGGAGGTATGACAAAGGGTCTTCAAAGGAAGGCAGCAGTGGGTAAAGAAACGGAGAACACAAGGAGTTTTTCAAATGGAAAAGATCTGCATCCAGGGAACAGCAAACCTGAAGCAAACATCTCCCAGTTCAGCAATCGCTTTCAATCCCACTTCTTGGCATGTTAGGAAATTTAAGCCCATACAGGGATTTCTGAAAGAAATGGCTTGTGCTGCTTTGTCATCATCATGCATTTTCCACTCTGAATCACCATCTCTGTTCAAACACCAGCTCACGATTAGGAAATTAAAAATAGACCAGACAGGTGCCAGAGAACTTACCAAACCTGCTCAGCGCACAGGTTCTCCAGCACACACACAGCACCAAGGCATGCGTGAGCCATCACGTAGCTGATTTTTTTTTTCAAAGGCTGAATCTCCAAAAACTGAGAGTCTGAAATACTCAGAGGTTTAGAAAGACGACTGTTCTGGACCTGCTCCTAGACGCAACCCAAACACTGTACTTGATTCTGACCCAGCGCAGGGATCAAGCCGCACTTTGTTCTGAATCTTGATTAACTGGTTCCCGAGCAAGTACCTGTAATTGCTTTCCTCTCTCCTTTCTCCAGCTTCCCTTGCGGGGACTCGGTGTAGACACCGTGCTCCATGGGCTGCTCCACCCTCTTCATCGCCGTGCCTTTGTAGTTCATCTGCAGCTGGCTGGTGTACTTCTCGTGCTGCAGAGACACAAGCGGCAGTCGCTGGGTGCCCGTGCGACCTGTGCGCTAGCCCACGGGAAAAATAAACCGCCCTTCCCCACACACGGGTCACGCAAAGGCAAATACTGCAGCTATGCTGTGCAACAAAAAGAAAGCACACCTGAGTGAAGGCTAGGGACCAGCTGAAACGCCAGCTGAGAGGCTTTTATATACCCCGTTTGGAAGGCATTAGTGACTGTTCTAGTCCACGAGAAGGTCACCATGACTTAGCTCTGCAAAATGGCTAATTAGGAAACCCTTTAAAGAGTAAACTGAGAAGAATCAGAACTTAGGCCATTTTCCATTCAGGATTCAAATCCTGAAATCTCCTTCGTTCTTAAACCAACATTATAAATTCTTTCAGGGCACTCATCTGCATTATCTCAGTTTTTCAGCACAGGCAATTAAAATCTATTTTAATTATTTCTCTCCAAATTCTCTCACCAGCTAGGAAAGTGTGTGCCTTCAAACAGGCTCCACATTAATATAGTAAATGAGCTATTTAAAAGTGGGTTTATTACAAGTAAATTAATAAAAGGGTGTACTCATCCATATTACCCCTGAGTAAATTCAATGAATCACTTGCCCAATTCTAGCTGTTACATTTCCAATCCTCTCCAAGTCCTAAACACGGAACCAGGGCACAGAGGACAGTATCTGCTAGCCAAGGGGTGATGCTTGGCAGTGACAGCCCAGGCCCTCAGCTGAAAACAACAGCTTTCCAGCCCAGAGCAGGTTGCTTTTCTGTCTTCGGTAAGAGGGTACTTGACTATTTTGTACCCTGCCACTGAACTTTGTTTAAAAAAAAAACCTCACTGAGGACTGCTCAGTAAGTAAAAACTGGGAGCTTGAAGGCAAAACTGAGATGATATACAGGAATAAACTAAACTTCAGCCTGCTGGAGGAAGTGTGATGGAGCTGGCCTAAGTCACCATGCTCAGAGAAAGGCATCTGCGCTCAGCCTCTGGGAGGGAACAAGTTCTGCTGTGCTTTACCCACAAGCTAATGTGCTGACTGTTCTTTAATACATTACAGCTTTAGTAACCTTTTTAGTTGGCAGTCATGAAATCATAAATAACTTCATCTACGTGTTAGCACAGGGGTAAGAGAGATCAGAGCCGAGATAACTGGGAAATCTCTCTCTCCTCAAAGGAAGGTTTTGTTAAGTCCCAACCCAAGGAGAGCCTTACATTGTGGAACACTTCACTGCCATCAAGAGTATTTTAATATTTCAGTTTGCTTGACCACGAATAGAACACTTAAAAAAAAATTTTAAAAATGCACCATAAAGACACACTTACCTTTAAAGCTTCTTCTGGGACTTTGTGTTGAATTTGCTCCAGGACATACATGTTTGAATGTACAGAACTCATTAAGGAAATGGCAAAGGAATTGGATGGACAGAGAAATCCAGCAAGCAGTCACAGAAAGAAAACAAGATCATAAAACCAAAGCAGCTTAAAACATGGAGGGCACTAAACATTGCCTGTGTTGCATCCCACCATGGTCTTGTTGTGCAGAGCATGGAATCATGTCTGCTGGCCAGACCCGCAACAACTAAAGGGTGGCACAGGAGAGGAAGAGAGCAGGAGTATCTCGGGGGAGCACCAGCAGCTCTGTGCAGGTCCCAGGGGAGCAACCAGAGCCCTAACTCAACTCACACCCCGCTCACAGCTCCGGGCCAACCACACTCTCCCCATGGTACCCTGGCCAAGATGGGGCAGTCTTGTACGCTCGGGACAAGGGAACAGCAGAGTTCAGCTCCCTGCAGCGGTGCCTGGGACTATGGTACTTTCTTTCCCTGACAAGGCCTTTCAGCCACCGCGGTTTCCCGGATGAAAAGTAAATCAGGTCATGAGCTGCCATGACCTCTTAGGAAGGGAGGCGTTCAACGTGGTTGAGCCTAGGCAATAATCCTCAGTGACACCACACTAAAAAAAAATCAGGGAAGCATCTGGCAACGTCATCATGAACAACCCAATCAGGACAGCTCAGAGAAAAGGGGAGAGGAAAGAAAAGATGGAAAATGTTGGACTATAAATAAACCGAGTGACACTGGCACAGCAAGGAAACTCCGCACTGTCTGCAAGTGAAACTGTAAATGGAAAAGAGACAAACGCTCTTAGGCAACAGCGCACGGCTGACTCGGAGGCCTCGGGAGATGCTGCCATCCACACCGAGTCGAGCACGGCGTGCACCGAAAGCACCGCTAAAGTGAGTGGCACCGAAGCAGCACAGCAGAGGAACAGATTGTAACTGCCATAGCAACCACGCTGAAGTGAAGTGAGTGTAAAACCTACATTCTCTAAAGTTTTTCTGTTGATGGCAATAACTTCTACAACTCATGAATGCAATCATTCATTTCACGTGAATATCCATGTAAGGGCTGCAGGACTAAACACTTCAGCTCAGCTGTTCAGTGTTCAGAATTGCTTTCTATAAAAAGTTTAAACCTGTATCGCAGCCATTAAAACCTACCCAAGCTCTAGGCACTGGCTTCTGCCTTCGCTAGGCTGGAGTTCACCTCAAATCTACAAGTTCCCCCACAGATCTAGAGAGCAGAAGACAAGTCGCAAAGAAAAGCTAGAACTGAGGTGGCCTATGGGATTATGACAGGCGCTATCCCATGTACACCAAGATGCCACCTTTAATGACATGATCCCGGACAACAGTGTTTTTTTATTGGGCAGCACTCAGTAAGGGCCTATTCAGGACTTTTTTCGCCCCATGTACGCCTGAACTCTCATCAACTGCACCCTGGTTGTTGGTTTGAAAGCAAACAATCGGTCTCCTGTCTTTAAAAAAAAAACAAACAGCAACTACCTCCCTTTTTTAAAAAAAAATAAATATCACTGTGAAGCAAGAGACAGAGTGAGACAAAGACCAAAAGTATGATCTTACACAAGCCCTAGCAAACCCTCTTTTCCAGCAGATCCAGCATTGCATGCACATCAGTTTAAGCATCCTGCTTGCAACAGTGAGTTCTCCTGCACTGTCAGTGCTTAGAGCCGAGGTACTCGGATCCCCAGAAGACCAGGGAGGCTCAGCCCTTCCTCACTGCTTCAGCTTTCTGAGCTCCAGCAAGGTTTGGAGTATTTCAAGGGCTACAGCATGGCCAAGCACAACCTGATCATCATGGGGACAACAAAAGGCACAAGAATGTGGCCTTGGGGTCAAGGATGCACCACAGTTTTCCAGCCAAACTCTTCCTCCCCCTCCAACGGTGAAACTTCATCTCTGCCTCTGTTCTCAGAAATGCGTAGACATTTTTAAGTGAAATTTTCCCACAAAAGAAAAAAAAAGTCTTGAGAAGACATCTGCTACTTCTAAACTCAGCCAAGTCGGTAAGGTTTGGCAGACACAGGACACTGAAAATAAGGATTCGATTACACGAAAAGGCAGCAATAGGAGCCTCTATTTATCACTACTGCTCTGCAGGCTCAGAAGCGCATTCCAACATCTATGCTCACAGCCAGTCATACAGCGACACCAGGATAAAAAGGAAAGGGATGAGGGCAAAGGTGTTTTAGCAGACACTATCAGGATTTGTGACTCTAAACAAAGCAGCAACTGCAGCCTAGCCTGCCTCGATAGAGATGAAATCTGCTACTGCTAAAAAGAGATTTACTCTTGCATTTTGCGGCAGAAGCAATTTGCACCAGCAAACTTCAATCGATATAGAGTCAAGGGTCTGACCGCAAGCCCCAGAGCTAAATGTTTAAGGCTGAAGACCTGCAAATTGTCTGAAAACAAGCATTTGGGTGAAATGATTAATAAAACCCCCCAAGATGGGTGGAGGGAAAAAAAAAAAAAGGAAGATGTTAGTTCATACAAAAGCATATGAAATATGTTTGCTCCCCGGCTGGTACGAGTAACAGTCGTCAACCCAAAGAAAAAGAAAAATTGCAACCTTTCTTTAGGAGATTGAAGAGGCACCTTCACAGTCACCCACTGCCAGCATAGAGCCTGATTCAAAGTGCAATGAAGGCAGCAGGAACCATGATTAATATGCTCTGAATCAGGCCCATGGTGGAGAAAGAAAAGCTCACGAGTCATCCAAAGGCTCCAGGAGGCAAAACAAACACCCTTACTCAGTAGGCACAATTAGCACTGTTAACTGTCCAGGCAGCAAGCAGCACAAAATCCAGGCAAAGACCGCGTCCCACTCCATCTGCAGGCGATAAGGATATCATAGCCAAAGCGAATGACATCATTCAGTTTTAGGGTGATGTACTTCTGGTCCGGAATCCTCACGTCATTGACGAACGTCTGCAGGAAAGAAGCACAGGAACGGTTTTTGACTGAGGGTATCAAGGTGATGCATGTCAGATGGCCGGGTTCCTGGAGGGCACCCACACCCATCTGCCCATGGCACTGCACACATCCAGGGTGCACTAGCACAAAGTCAGCCAGCCGAGGAGCTCAGTTCCCTAGAAAAATCACCACCAGCAAGTAGCTCCCATGGGCAAATTAGAGCACCCCAATTATGCTTCAAAGCAAGGCACTCTGAAGGGACCTCTAAGGGAGATTTACCTCTCCACCAACTGCAAATGAAATTTTAGTCCCCGACTTGTACACATAAATGAGGTGCCTGAAGTGAGGAACTTCAGATGCTCTCGGTTCTCTCCTGCCCTTCACAACCAGCAAGAGCAGCAAATGGTGCAATAAAAGCTACAGCCACTCATACTCTAATTACTGAGCTGGGAATCAGCCTTCCACTGGATGTCAAACAAGACCGGTGTCACTCCCAAGTTCTGATAATTTAACAAGCAAAGCCTCTCACAGAGGAAGGGGGAAACAAAAATGCACAGGAAAACAAGCTTTTGCAGTGGCATCACCACGATGTCTGAGGCCACATTGTCCAAGACACCATGTATGGGTACAACAGGCCCCTCGCTCAGAAGATTCGCCTGCTCTTTTTTCCTATGCTCCAGGCAGTTAACTGAGGCCCAAAGAAACTAAGTTATCCTTATAAAGGTGCAAGAAATGTATTTCCGAGCTGTGAATGTCTCAGACGCCCGCTTCCTGAGGGGACCCCCGAAGGAACAATTCTCACCAATGGACGAGCAAACCCAGTGCTCATGGCCATCTTTCACAAATAAAACACATGTACTTTTGTAATAACCCAGACCAAATAAAAATAAATCAGGAATTCAGCCGAAGAAGCACTGGGGTGCTAACGGGGACTAGGCACCCAGTTGCACTCAGAGCAATCACAGGCACCAGGAGTTACCCTACCTGCAAGGTGGGATTCACCCAGCCTCACAGACCAGGAACCCGCTGCTGGGTCCTTGTAGCCTCAACACAAACGCAGCTACGCTCTGATGAATCAAAATTATGCTAGAAAATGAATTTACTTGCTTTCACCACTCAGGCAGTCTTCTCCTTCTGCCTTCTCACCTCAGCCAAGCCAAACATGCATGATAAGACCAAGTATTAACCACAGGGGAAAAATAAATGCTAAAGCAGGAAACTAGAACCTCAGCAGACAACAGCCACAGCTTCCTGGCAATTTACAGAAGAGCTGGGGAACAGGCCTGTAATTTCACAATAAAAGCAGTGAAGCTGGTTAAAAGGCATGGAATTCCTATTTGCATGAAATTTTTTAATATTTAAAAATCCCACAACAGTCAGATCTGGAACACGAATAATTATTTCCTGAATTTTCTGCAAAACAAAAGCCTGCGAGAAAACCCATTTTCATGTTGTTACCTATTCATCCACGGTTACTTCAAATAAAATAACCCAAGAAAACTGCTTACTGCAGATAGAAACGCTACCTTCAAAACCAACAGACCCTTAACAGAGAGTGCAGAACCAGCTGAACATTACAGTCAAAACAATACAAAACACTTCAACAATTAATATGAACCAGATTATCCAGTAAAGCCACATAATGCATTGTTGACATGTCATAAAGTAAATGCAAAATAAAAGCAAATTCTGAAAATGGAATTAAAATCAAGGTCCTCAAAACTGATTTCATTCATTTCCAGGGGGAAAACAAGTCTTCATGCAAATTTTCAAATAAAGACTTATGTTTCTTTCATGCAAAATACATTCAGTTTGGCTACAGTAGTCTTCAACAGAAGTGAGTTTGACCAGCTGCAGAAGACAGGCACTGCTATAACCCCTTTCACTCCACTGCCCCTCTGAGCACAAGTCTATTACTAAAATAGTGTAAATTCATACGCTTTAGCACGTGAAGATAGAAGAGAACTAGCGGCACAAACCTCCCCTCTCTTGCAAGCAGAATTTTCAGCTGCTATTTTGCCACCATGAGTTAAATGCCACAGGTTTCGAACCAGGGATCCAGGTAGAGCCCAAACCAGCTACTGGAAACATTCCCATTTCAGCAGGGCTCTGTGCCTCCAGCTATTAGGCTGAGAAGGATTAACACTCATTCTCGCTGTTTTCAGATGCCAGAAGAGGCAGAACAGTTTAGGTCTGCTTTAGCCACCGTTTTTGTATAAGTTTCTGGGTTCATCTTGTAGTTTTGTGCTTGTGATGGCAGAGGGCTTCTGTTTCTAAGCCCAATAGTGACTGCAGTAAAACCCATACTGGGAAGACAATTATGTGAATCTAGCTTAGACCTGCTCCAGCAGAGGAATAGCTCTGCTGGTAAGAGGAAACAGTAAAAAAAAGAGGCATGCTATGATATCAGGACAGTTTTAACTACAACGGTGTATTTAAAAATCACAGAGTTCAGGTAGGCAGACAAAGCCCTCATGGAGCTGCCTAACACCACTGTGTTAATCAGGATCAGAGGAAGGGGGAAGATTCAGGCAGGCTCAGCTCCCTATTCTGGGCTCACATTATCCCTCGGTCTTCACATAAACCGGGCTCAAGGCAGGCAAAGGAGCAATTTTTATTATAAAAAAAGAGAGGTGGTTTTAAATAGTTTCTACCCAAAGAAATTAAATGTCTCATCATCCCATAAATCACTGCATGCATTGACAATTCAATTGCCAAAAGGTGACCCTGCTCATGCCGAACAGCTGCTCCAGAATCTTCACCAGTTTAATGTTAACGTCCCCAAAATGAGACGGAATTTATTTCTTTCTCCTTTGCAAAAGGCTCAATGATTTTGTGAGCCCTGAAGCATTCTGCAAGGACACCAGATGAAAGGGAAGAAGAAATACAACATTCACCAAAGCTTTGCTCTTTTCACATGAGATGGTATAAGTCCTCCATCTCAGGCCTTGCAAATCGTTATGTATGTTTAGCTTAATTTATGCCAACAGTTGCAGTGACCCAAAAGCGTCCAACAGCAGAATTAAGTAAAGGCACAAGCGCTTGCAGACTCAGCAGGCCGCGTGTTCGCCTCCACCAGCCGGGAGGTTTGCTACTTACGCCGTTTAAGCTCCCGAGATCCTTCACCCAGTGCTCATCTTTCTCCTTGTCATAGTTGATTACAGCGTGCTGCTTATCGACACTGCGGGACTGGCAATGAAAGCACAATGAATGTGAGACCGGTCAGGCGTAAGAGACACTGTTAATCAAAGCAACATTTAGACATTACACTAACTTAACAGGGGGGTGGGGGGAGAGAGGGGGAAAAGCAGGAAGGATTAAATATTATTTACTACTAGAAGTCACCAAAGAATAAATAGTAAACACTTCCAAGGTTGTTTAAACAGTTCACTGAAGACAATGCACTATTTGCATGGGGGGGTGGGGGAAAAAAATCACTGAAGGTTGTTAAGACTATGCCATAATTTCAGTAAATTACATCAATACACGATGAAAACAAAACCAGTCAAACTGAAAGCCCGGGGGGCAGGATCTCCGCCAGTGCAAACGAGAAGAGCTCCATTTTTCACCAGCTGAAGCCAGTGGCCTCATCACTAGGGACATTCCTATTTGGGATGCTTTCTTCCTATTTTTCAAAGAGAAAAATATAATTTTCTTCAGTTACCAACCAAACTTACTCACAACCATGTAAACTGTTCCCAGGACTATAAGCTGGAGTTGATTTAAATTCTAGGATGTTTTCCAAGTTGGAGGGAGGTTAGTAAACTTGGGGTAAGAAAGAAAGCAACTTTACAAAAAATCAAATTTAAAGCTAGGTTCAATAACACTGAACTGGACAGCAATTTGGTGCCACCGGCTTTGCCACAATGTACAAGTACCAAATGCACCTTATCTTCAAAACAGTATGGCATATCAGCAGGATTAGTGTCAGACTTCTGAGAAAGAAGTGCTAGACCAAAATCTCTGAATAATTTTGAAATACGGTGTTAGAGCTATACAGACACGAGACTGTCTGTGTTTAGACCTACTGCCTCTCGTAACTTGAATTCCTGCCAC